TTCAGAGTCAAAGAAAAAAAACCCGATATGAGTAAGAAAATTAACTAAATTCTGTCATCTGTGTTTTCTTTTTCATTCTTTTCTTTTTTATTTTATTTTTCTTTTCCTTTAGCCAGTAATCCCTGATGATCCACTTAGGTGAAACTGTTGTAGGTTGTCTGGCTCTTTAGGTTTAACTTATATATATATATATATATATATATATATATATATATATATATATATATAATATAAAAGGCTCAAACACTAATATTCCATGGTTATAATTTATTACATTGGAATTGTAATCACAATCCAATTCATCAGACCTACAAATTCAATTTTCACCTACAGGATCCAAATCATCAGACCTACAAATTCAAAATTGAATTGGTAGGTCTGATGAAATGGATTGTGATTACAATTCCAATGTAATAAATTATAACCATGGAATATTAGTGTTTGAGCTTTTTATATTATATTCTTACTCTGTCCTGGACATTGAGTTCTACCTGGATTCTATCCTCTTGGGAATTTGTATATATATATATATATATATATATATATATATTGACCACTAATATTATCAATATCTATATATATATATATATATATATATATATATATATATATATATATATTTGTTTTAATGTCTATCTGTCTGTGTCTATCTGTTTAATTTTTTATTAGACGCTTCTATAAAATATGTTTGAATGAATATTTGCTGTTGAAGCATTTCTTCATACATACATATACACACATGTATATATATATTGTTATAGAGAGAGAAGAGGAAGATAATAGATAAATAAATAGATATGTACATTGGTAGTCTACAGGTACTAATCAAAAGGGAATTAAACATAAGCCATAGTGAAGTTTTAGATCAAAATTTAGTTAATAACTGTGTTACAAACTACATATATGTGTGTGTGTGTGTGTGTGTCTGTGTGTGCACATAATTGTAGGAAGTAGAAAGACTTCTTTATGGTATGGAATTTCATGTGGTGTGGAATGTTGAGTGTCTTCTAAATATGCAAGTATTACTCTGCATGAACATTTCAGACCAGACATTCATTTGTTTATTTAAATTAACAGAAAGAAATATGTAAATTAAGAAATATGCAAAAATTAAGATAATTATTAGGTTGAATGAAAAGACAAATAAAACTTAATTCTCATGTAGCCAAAAGAAGACACAGTTTTTTAAGTACAACTTAACATTTGTATGAAGTGCCAGTAATACTGGCTTTCTATTCAAATGGAATGAAATATTAAGATGGTCGCCATTTTTGTTTACTTAACAGCAGACAGTTTTTTCTCCTCTTGATTTATCTGATGTTTCTTTCCACATATTTTCCAGCCCCACAGTTTTTTGATGAGTGCATTGCCTTAAAGTTCATTTCATTTGATTAGTTTCTGTCTGAATCTCTGAAACATGGAATTATCATTATCCTGTACTGATTTAAATGGTGTCCACATCATTTTGTTAGTTATAGACATGTTTCAGCTTTTGTACCCTCAGGTCTTCTTCAGTCTTTCTTGCATCTGGTTTTGGAGTTTTGAACAAAACACTTTATTCAATTCATAAGAATTAGTTATTTTGTCCTCTCATAAACTTGTCCTGACAGTACCACTGACACAAAATATTTTGGTTCCTCTTCCATTCAACAAAAGAGTGACCCTGATCTGAACCATCACTTTCTGGATGCTATTGTGGCTTTGTTCCTGACCAAGCTATGCTTTGTAAATAGTCGACACTGAAATTCAACATATATATTTTTTCCAATGCATTTATCAAAAATCTCTAAGATAATTCTTCATCTGTAACTGTCTTATAGTCGTAGGTACAAATATGAAGATTTTGGTAATTTTCAGGTTTTATTTGAAACTGGGCATAAACTGAGTGGTGGTGTTTGCAGGATTTAGGAAATCAAGCAATATTTTGAAGAACATTTTTTGTCTTCCATCTGCATGTCTGATTCTAACCTCCAGAGGAGTAAGTAACTCATTTTTTGTCTTCCATCTGCATGTCTGATTCTAACCTCCAGAGGAGTAAGTAACTCATTTTTTGTCTTCCATCTGCATGTCTGATTCTAACCTCCAGAGGAGTAAGTAACTCATTTTTTGTCTTCCATCTGCATGTCTGATTCTAACCTCCAGAGGAGTAAGTAACTCATTTTTTGTCTTCCATCTGCATGTCTGATTCTAACCTCCAGAGGAGTAAGTAACTCATTTTTGTCTTCCATCTGCATGTCTGATTCTAACCTCCAGAGGAGTAAGTAACTCATTTTTGTCTTCCATCTGCATTAACCTCCAGAGGAGTAAGTAACATTTTTTGTCTTCCATCTGCATGTCTGATTCTAACCTCCAGAGGAGTAAGTAACTCATTTTTGTCTTCCATCTGCATGTCTGATTCTAACCTCCAGAGGAGTAAGTAACTCATTTTTGTCTTCCATCTGCATGTCTGATTCTAACCTCCAGAGGAGTAAGTAACTCATTTTTTGTCTTCCATCTGCATGTCTGATTCTAACCTCCAGAGGAGTAAGTAACTCATTGCTCTTTCTCTGTCTAACATTTTCCACTGATATGAATTGGAATGATTATATCAAGTCAATTTCTAAGTCTGCTGCTAGGAAAGTTGGTTCACTGAGTCATGCTATACAATTCTTTCCACAAAAATCTATCTTGCAGCTTTATCAGAAGAATCTGCAATATTATTTGTTTGGATCTGGCATCTCAGCTTCAATCACTTTCCTACAGCTGTAACATAGCTTCCCTGTACTGTTTTCTGTGATTGTTCTGATGAGCTTTCCTATTTGATACCTCAACTTCATGAATTTAAGTAGATCACTATTGTGTTTCATCAGCAAAGAATGAGAATTCAGAGAACTGAGTTTGAATTCCAGTCAAGTTCATTACATTCACATATGCACCAATACACTTGGGAAAGTTATGAATGTATCTCTTCTCCCCTAAACTATGGGTTTAATAGCAGGGCAGACTGGGTCCTATATGCAGTCCACTGCAGAAAAAATTGGCAAGCCACTGTGGGAAAATCTTCTGCCTTGTCAGTCATAAGTAGAAAGATACATGATCGCCCTACGTATCACGTTTGACATGTAACTGACTGACTAGATAGTTAGATAGGTCTCATTATTTTACTGATGAAATTAGTAGATTTAACTGTAATTTCTTTTTTGATTGTTTTTTTCCCTAATGCAACTCTTTTCTGACTACCTGCTTCCCTTAAATTCAATGTTTATCATCATTATTTTTTGTCTTTTTGAATTCAATTCTTTTATTGTTCTTTCTTCTTAACATTTTCTGTTTCTTTCACCCTTAGCATCTTAGTAGCTTTATTGCCTTACTTAGAGTGAAATGATTAAAAAGGTGGGAATGACCATCAGTTTCAAAAAATACAATGTACACAAGATCAGCACTTGTAAACTTTCAGAAGAGAACCTTTTTAGACATACCATCTGTAGAACATCAGCTTCCAAAACATACAACTGGCTAAAAAAATGAAAACATTTTGGATTTGTCCCAATAACTATTTAAGTGAACACACTTGTTCCTGATATGGGTTAAGTTTTTATGTTATATAAGTACATACATATTTGATTATAAGTATTCATAAACCTATATTAAGTTACTAACACTACAAAGTAGTCAACATCTGTAAAAAGAAATATGAAAGAATGAAAAAAAAATGGGAGTAGAATTTGGGATAAGAACTTTGATTGGTTGTCTATAACTTCAAAGGTCAAGTGGTGTAGTCATTTCTCTACACTCACTTGGCAGGGAAGATTGGTTCAAGCCTTGTTTAGAATATTCTTATTGTTCCAGCTTGTATGCTGAAGAATATATTGTGAAATGTTAAAGAAATGAAAATTTAACCCTGTAAAAATATTCAGCTCATTCATAAAGAAAAGAACAAAGCAAAAGAAGAAAGAAAATTAAGTGAAAATACAGAATTTAATAATCAAGAAATTGTTGAAGGAATTTTCAGAACAATTACTTTCTATCTTTTTCTTAGTCAAGTTTCTTTTCTTGAATACAGTTCTAATATGGCGGGAAATACAGGAAGAATTTTAAAGATGTCTCTGACTACTACAACTCAGACTTTTACATGGACTGCTACTCAGACTAGCTACTTGATGTGTGGATGTAGTATTAAACACAAGAATACATGTGAACATTTAAATGTGTGTTATTTGAAGAGTATACAATTTGTAATAACTTAATAATTATACATGCTTAAAAGCTGAAACTTTTCAGATTAATCATTTGATATATGTTTTAGATGCTGTATAAATTCTTTCACCATAAATTATAAGTTAATTAAATTTTACTTTAAGTGGTTATCCACTCAGAAGGGATATCATATTCTATGTGAAATTAATAGAATTAATAGAATATGTCCTAATAATGAGTTCACTATAACTTGAATCTGTAAATTTATTCATTTTATCAAATTTTAATTTATATAGACTTTAAGCTTTTCTTCACAAGCAACAATGTCAAGCTTTAATGAAAACAATAATTGGCAATGTATTGAAAATATTTAATCATAAAATATCAGAAAGCCTTCTCTGATCAATTTAAGAAGTTTTCGAAATTGTAAGTAAAAGTTTACCATCTGATGATGAACCTGTGAAGAATGAATTTGATTCAATGTGGAAGTTTATAAGCCCAAAACAGAAATTATCCTAGATTTGAAAAAGACACATACTGAGGAAGGATCATGTAGAGAACTTAACACTAACAGGATTCACTAAGAGTTATGGAAGCAGAGGAAAGTAATGAGAAATTGCGGCAAATGGGTGTCAGGAAAAGTAATAGAAAGACAAAGAGAGATCATAAAGGAGTAAACATTGCTGACATCAACAGAAGAAAGGAAGGAGTGGAGAACCATGATTGAGAGAGATGAGCAAAAAACACTGCGTTTACTGTGTCACAACAGAGACAAACTGTCCAAATTTGAATCTTAAATAATCAAAAAATTGATATGAAAAGAATTAGATAGTACTGGCTGGAATAGATAGATAGATAGATAGATAGATAGATAGATAGATAGATAGATAGATAGATAGATAGATAGATGTGAAGATAGAGAGATATATGTGAATAGAATTAGATAAATAGTACTGCCTGGAATAGATAGATAGATAGATAGATAGATAGATAGATAGATAGATAGATAGATAGATAGATATGAAGATACAGAGATAGATAGAGAGATAGATGTGAATAGAATTAGATAAATAGATAGTACTGGCTGGAATAGATAGATAGATAGATAGATAGATAGATAGATAGATAGATAGATAGATGATAGGTAATACTGGTTGGGGATAGATATGAATACAGATAGATAGATAGAAGAGCTTGGGATAGATGTGAATAGGGATAGATGTGAATAGGGATATAGATAGATAGATAGATAGATAGGATAGATAGAATAGATAAATAAAGATGACTGGGATAGATAGATAGATAGATAGATAGATAGATAGATAGATAGATATGAATAGAATTAGATAAATAAATAGTACTGACTGGGATAGATAGATAGATAGATAGATAGATAGATAGATAGATAGATAGATAGATATGAATAGAATTAGATAAATAAATAGTACTGACTGGGATAGATAGATAGATAGATACTGGTTGGGGATAGATATGAATACAGATAGATAGATAGATAGAAGAGCTTGGGATAGATGTGAATAGAGATAGATAGAAGAGGTTGGGATAGATAGATAGATAGATAGATAGATAGATAGATAGATAGATAGATACTGGTTGGGGATAGATATGAATACAGATAGATAGATAGATAGAAGAGCTTGGGATAGATGTGAATAGAGATAGATAGAAGAGGTTGGGATAGACAGATAGATAGATGTTTAGGATAGATGTGAACTAAATTAGATTTATACATAGAGGCTGAGACAGAAAAGTTGATTGATGGAAAGATAGACAGATGGAAATATAGATAGTGAGATATGAACAGAGCTAGACAGATATGAACAAAATCTGAAAAAAAAAAGATATGAACACATTGGGACAGCCAGTCAGAGAGAGAGAGAGAGAGAGAGAGAGAGAGAGAGTGTGTGTGTGTGTGATGGATATCCAAGCATTATTTCATCCACATGCTACTGTGAAAACAACAGCTGTGCCACCAATAAAGCCTTCATCAGATGATGACCCTGGGGTCAGGCATACTCATGGAGCCAAAGCCTCATTATCATTAACCCAGGCCACCCCAGGACTACCACGAGATTTGGTTGGTTTTCCATTGCAATGTAGAAATGTCAGATGAATATAGAACTTCACTATTTATTTTTAATACTAGAAACTTTAGAGTCATTCTATGGTAGCCAAGTCATTAATATGTATATATATATATATATATTAGATTACAAACTAGTCACAACACATTACTGTGCATCTAGACATATGGTTCTGTTGTTAATATTTTGGTCTCTCACATGGTATGACATCATAGAACAGCATCATGAACTTATGATCTGCTTCTGCTATTCCACGGCTGTTATTGTCGCATACCAATCTTCTATGTCAACATAACAGAATATCAACTTTGATGGTGAATATCTAAATATCGTCTCTAGTTTAAATGTCTATATAATCACTCTGTCTATATAATCACTCTGAAGATGGCTCATGTGAGCCAAAAGCTTAGAACAAGGAACAGCTTGATAAAAATATCCAAATGTTGGACAATTTTTGTCTTTATTTTCACACAAAATTAAAGTAACCATATGGAGTATAGAACAGCTCATGATCAAATATAGTAGACATTTGTTGTCGCTTATATTTAACAATATATTCTGAATATGCATTATTAATGTTAAAATAAAGTCGACGTCGGACGTTTCGGTCTATTTAAGACCATCTTCATGGACATTTTCATTTAAACATAATTAACATTATAACTTATAACAATTTAACACAAAAGACGATGGACATAAGAGCCCAACTAATTCAGACAGATAACTGAAATTTTATACAGATCAGCGTTCTGTTTAAATATGATCACGTAGTTGTCATGTGGGCGATGTTGTTAAGACGTATTCGAAGATGATTTCCAAAAATTAAAATATCAAAAAGTCGATTTAAAAAATTTTTTATAAACAGTTAAAGAAATCTCTTCCATTGATGTTGGAATACGTAGTGATCAATTGGTTCTTATATCTTCAACAAGCTTGAAAGTCCTTCCCGTTACAATGCAAATCCAAAAATGATTTTAAAAACGATGGAACAGTTCTAAAAAACAGTTCGATAAAAATTCCATTCTTTACTTGATCAATAGATTCTCTCGTCCAAGCTTGAAATCTTCCACGTATATATATATATATATATATATATATATATATATATATATATATATATATATATATATATATTTACTTACTATAAGCAATATATTTATTGTGTACACATGTTTAAGTAGTCATCCCTGTTTTGTTTTTTTAAACAGTTAAATTAATGTCTACGGCTCAGAGATCAAAAATCTTATTAAAGAAATGTGCAAAAGTATTTAAATTTCTAGATAATTAGTAGATATAGTATTTGTAAAAATAAGTAATAAGTAAGTAATAATAAAAATATGTTTGTGTATATATGATGATGGCCTCTTTTGTCAATTTCAGCGTATGAGAATCTGACAGTCTGATTCAGTTTTTATGTTTGTGCCGTAAGTGACTCTTCAATCCTGAATTCATATTGTGCAAAAGTGAGTATCTTGGGACATAGCAAGAGGAATATTTGCTGATACTTTCTGCCATTGTCTTTCATCTCTTAGCCAATCAGTTCAACTGATTTCAAAATTTCTGATATCACTCTGGCACAAATACCCCCATTTAAATTATCTATGGCAACTCGCTTGAAATTAGTATGAGGTACGTTGACAGCTAAGAGGTTACTCTTTAGCTCATCTTTCTACTTGAGCCATGGCTGTCCAACATTATATTCACTTTTAACATTATTTCTATCCAGGACAATCCATTCAAAGTTAGTATGTGGCACATTGACAGCTAAGTGTTTACTATTGAGTTTGTTTTCATACCTGAGACACAGATATCCAAAAGTCCTTTGTTCACTGTGAAAATGGTTATACATAACAGGACCATAGGTATTTTCTCATAACTCATCCTTGCAACAACACACACACATATATATCTATATATATACTTTATTTTAGGAATTTACATCAAAAACAATAAAAAAAATGCTACACTATTGCAGTCATGTTTGGATGTGAATCAATGCATCTCATCAGGTAAATGATGAGTCATTCTTAGCCAATGTGTTTTGTTCTCTGAGGGGCTATATCAAGGAAAATGTAAGGATTTGTTTTGTTGCACATGTTTATATACAAGAGCAACAATGTCATTGATTTATCAAGGCTTTTACATTTGAGAACATTCATGAATATTCATCCAGTGCTTGAAAGATTAGTCAAAACATATGGAGGGCACAAAGGGTCATAATTCAAAGTCTGTTAAGGCAAAAATAAGTGAGTAATATTCAAGAATATTTCCTCTTGACTTTTTATTCCTTTTGTTCCTTCACAGATACACTATCTGAAAATAATTTACACACACACACACATATATATATATATATATATATATATATATATATATACAAATATAGATAACTATACTCATTTAAAAAAACCCTCGAATTTTTGATTTGCCAATAATCAAATCAATCTTGAGGGAAAAAAAGGTTTTAAAAAAAGAAAGAGCTACAAATATAAAAGTCTGTCGAAAAAAATCACACAGCTGCAGATCTGAAGCCCAAAGAAAAAACCCCGATATGAGTAAACAACTAACTAAAAAAGAGCTTAATACAACCGTAGAGCAGACCTAGATACACCCAGTGAGCCAGACAAACCTACCTAGGTTTCACCTAAACGGATCGTCAGGGAAATTTGGCTAAAGAGGCAAAGTGAAACGCAAATTTATAGGCGATAGCTAAAATTATACCATGTGACCAAAGAAAGAACCACACAACACAACACAACCACCTGAGTTCAGTTAAAGATTTATTCAACAAAAAGGGGAGGGGATATTAAAATACGAACATTAAATTGGAATGACAAATAAACAGGAAAAAACGTCTAATTTAGTAACCAAGATTTTTTTATGTCTACATATGTTAAGAATTTCAGTTTTGGAGTTTAATAGCTGGTTAGTTTGATCATATAAAGCTATGGCTAATTTCTCCTCTGTACATAATTTACAAAATTTTTGGCCTGCTTTATATTTGGGGCATTTTTTAATATTTCTCATTTAAGGATGGAGTCTTTATTATCTTCTTGTTTGGTTTTCCATACATAGGTGAATAATGTGGTACTATGTTTAGATTTTTCATTTTTAAAACTACTCGTGTGGTTATAGTATCTTTTTTTAAAATTTATCCTGAGTAGCACCTATGTTTATTTTAGGGTTGGTATCCTCACTATCTTTGTAAATTTTCACTTGATAAACCAAACATTCTTGCTGACATTTTCCCTGTAATGGGCAGATATTTTTGTTTCTACAATTACAAGTAGGAGGATTACTGTGTGGATTATCCCTAGTTTTTTTCTTATTCAATCCATTTATTATAGTCCCTATGTTAGGCATGCAACAATAACTAAGATTTACATTGTTTTTATTGAATATTTTATGTAACTCAGTTTTTTTTGGAAATGTTGCTCTAATAAGTCAAAAAATATTTTGCCAATTTTTGTTTTTACCGCTAAATTAAAAGGAGGGTTAAACCATAAAATCTTTCTTTGCCTATTGTTAAATTTATTCTGAGTACTGTTATGGCTATTTATATTAATATATTCCAATTTATTTTTATATCCACTCTTAGATAGGGCTTACTCATAACTTGTTTTATTGGCCTCAAATATACCTATTGGAGGAATTAGTAGAAAGTCTATACCCAATATTCATTGTAATATGCTTTATGATATGGGCTGGGTGGTTAGATTTTATGTTTAAATATTGGGGTTCCTGGTTTTCTTTTTTATACGGGGATATTGTACCCTTTTGTTAATTCAATGCAATATCTAAATAATTAGTGATTTTCAAATTAGTTTCTATTTCGAAATTAAATCCGAATTTTTTAAAAAACCAGTGTAGTTTTTTACGGATTGTGTAATATTTTTGAGGGTTACTTTTATCCACTATGATTAAACCGTCGTCGCGGTACAACCCATGGTTATTAAAATCTATATATTCATTAAGCTTATGGAGCAGCAGGCACCCTACTACCTCGCACACTTCTGCTCCATCATATGCTCCCATAGGGTTGTCAAAACTGTTAATATTATCTTTTTTTATCCATATAGTATTATTGTGGAATAGCAATGTTTTTCTACAATGTCTAATTAGGTTTATTTTATCATCAGAAATTTGGATGTATTTTTTGGCTAAGCTGAGGGCTTCATTTAGGGTTTTCTCTGAAATAGACGGGTAATATTCCTTAATATCATACCTAATGAATGAGCACTTTTCATTTTTGTTGTAATTTTCAAACCATTTAATGCAATCCTTAGTTGATTGCCATTGGTTAATATTAAGGAAAGTCCTAAGGGATTTACATATATCCTGCAGAATTATTTTACTTATCTTGCCTAATTCTGTCTTGGTAGGGTTTATGAGTCTATATTCAGGGTTATTAATAAAATTACTTTTATGATCTTTTATGGTGATAAAGCAAGTGTTTAAGTTTATTTTCTCAACCCGATTACCTAATTCAAATTTATTAATTAAGATACTAGCCTCTTTGTTAATTTTAGTCTCTATGTCATTTAATAGAATA